AGTTTTATATTTAATTTATTGCAATATTCAGCATTTGCCTTTTTTTTAAATTAGAAGAATCTTTTTTTAATTTAAAAAAATTTATCTAAAAAATGCTACAATTTCATAGCTTCTTATTTTTGTTTACTTTTCCTTTTTTAACTTTTTACGCTTATCATTTTAATTTATTAAAAAAAGGTTTTTGAATAAATTTAAAAAATTTTTAAAGTCCTGCAATCATATCATTTATCAAATGACATTTTGAATTATAAAAATGAATAAATATTGAATTAGAATATTTTAATATCACTTTATTAATTATTTGATACCATTTAAGAAAATAAATATATTACATAAATACAATTGTAGTATTTGCGGTTCATATTTTGAAGGATAATAATATTAAATTTAACAAATTCGCAGCTGATGGCTATCTTTTTTGCATGATTGTAAAATTTAATAATTAAATTCAGTACTAAAATAATGAAAAATACTACAAATATTTAAGTTTATTCTAACTAATAATTAGTCTTTAAAAAAGAAACGAAAATTGCACCAAAAAAATTAGAATATAATATGCAAATAGAATGAAAATACATCAATGAATTGATAAGAAAAATATTTTTTAATGAAAAAAAAAAACAGAATAAAATAAAATTTAAAAATTTTGGTTATGCATATTTGAAATTTGATTAAGGCATTGTAAATATTTCAAGCGAAAAAATATATTAAACTACTTTTTTTAAAAAAATATTTCAAAAGAATAACGAAGAGACAATGCTTTATGATTTAAATTATTCCAATTTTAATAATTGAAGAAAATAATTCTTTTTTTTTTTAAAAAATTGAAGAAAATATAATTTTAAGAATTTAAAAAAAAATAATAATATTTTGTTAAGAAAAATCTAATATAATAATTAAAAAATAAGTGATACTAATTTATTTGGAAAAAAATTTTTATCATTTTTTTTTTTTTATAAAAATCATTCCACTAATTTTTTTTTTCATTTCTTTTCTTTTCATTTTGGTTCATCGAAATGGAAAATTTCGAAGGATTGATGAAATTGTCGAAAGAAACGAAATGAAAAAAAAAATAGAATCGAAATAAAAATTGCATTTAAGCTAATATTCAATGTAATCTGCCATAAAACAAACAAATTTTATTGAAATGCAAAAGAAAAAAAAAATTAAAAACAAAAAAAATTCACAATGCATTTTTTTTTCATTTTGTTATCAAAGCTATTCAATTTCAATGTTTCGCAAAAAAAAAACGAAAAGAAATTTCGTTTTTTTTTTCTTTTAAAAAAAAGCAAAAAAAAAAGGATAAAATTATTTTTTATTATTTTATTAGTTTAATTTCATTTAAGCTTATATTATGCTATAATTAATTTTTCGTGTTTTTTCCTCTTTTTTTTTTGCTAAAAATTGTATGTTGAAATTGATTTTATAAAAATAATTTTAATAAAAATAATTTGTTATGAAAAATAATTTTTTAAATAAATGAGAAAAAAGAGAGAAAAGAAAAATTGAACAAATATATATATTAATATATTTTTTTAAAAAAAAAAAGAAAAAATTAGAAATATATTTTGATATATTAAGACTAAAAATTGTGATATTTATTTGTGTGATAATTAAAACTCTAAATTAGTGATGTCAAGCTTGGATGAATAAAAATGTATTAATTAAAATGTGAAATTTAATTAAAATCAGAGCAATGCGTAGAAAAAAATTAATTAAAAATCAAAAATGAAAAATAAAATCACTATTTTTTGATGACAAAATTAATTTTATTACATCGATTTGCTTTTTTTTCTGCCTTTTTTCAGTAATAAAATTGATCAGCTAAATATATTTAATAAAATTGATCAGTTAAATATATTTAATAAAATTGATCAGTTAAATATTAAAATATTTAATAAAATCGATCAGTTAAATATATTTAATAAAATCGATCAGTTAAATATATTTAATAAAATCGATCAGTTAAATATCAAAATATTTAATAAAATTGATCAGTTAAATATATCTAATAAAATTGATCAGTTAAATATATTTAATAAAATCGATCAGTTAAATATATGTAATATATTATATAAACCAATTTAACTAAACAACACACACAGCTAAAATTTAATTTAACTTTACTGATTTAAATATCACGTTATCATATATAGTTATCAATTAAATTCTCATTTATTCATTAAATTATTAATTAATGTGAGCTATTAAAAAGTTGCATTTTAAATTTATACAATATAAATTTGAAAAACACTAATATCAAAAAATTTTTTTTCTTTTTGGACAAATAAATTAAATCGTTGTAATTTTATATTAGCTTTGAAAATAAAAAAAAAATTATATATAAATATAAAAATAAGAAACTATTACAAAAGTAAAGAAAGAAAAAGTTGATCATTCCTCTTTTTTTTTAAAGCAGGAAAAAGATGCATTCAATGTAAAAGTAATACTTACAAATTAAAGTTAGTTTTACTTTACTTTTTTTTTTTTTTTGTTTACTTAATGTAAAGTAATAGTATGATTAATTGTATTTGTCTTTCGTTTTCATTTTTTTTTTGTATCAAAAAATTAAACAATTTTCAATTATTTTTCCATCTTCAAATCAAAAACTTAAATCAGAACGAATATTTTCTTTTTAGATTTTTTTGAACAAAAAAAAAAAAAAAAATTAAATAAATAAATAAAAAAAAGAAAGAAAAGAAAAACATTATGCATACGTTAGCAAATATAAAATGTTGCAAAACGATGAGAGAGAAAAAAAGGAGAGGGAAAAAGAAAGAGAGACAGAGAGAGAGAGAGATTATAAAGGAATGAATTAATTTGTCAAATATTCTTCGCTTTTTTTTTGTTGTTTACACTCGAAATTGATGTTTCTATTTGTAAATTGCAATGCTATTACACAACATTATATTTTAATTTTAAACAACAAAATGGAAAAACGTGAGAGAGAGAGTGAGAGAGAAAGAAAGAAAGAAAAAAAAAATGATAAATTTATTTTCGAAACAAATAATTTTATCAGTAATACTTTTTTTATTTTTAAATGATTATTTTTTTTTTGATAACATATGAGCAATGAATAATTTAAATAAATTTTTTGCTTATTAATTTTATTAATAAGTAAAGTAATATTTATAGAAAGTGATTAATCATCATTTATATATTTATAATAATTAAACTAATTACAATTGCCTAATTAATAATTTAGAAAAAAAAAGAATGAAAAAGTAATGAAATAATTTAAAGAAGAAAAAAATAAAACATTGAAAATTGGAGTAAAAAAAAAAAGTTGATAAAAACATCAAATTTTTGTAATAAATGCATTTTTATAGATTTTTTTTTTTACTTTAATTTTTTTACAAATTTTTTTTTTGTATTCTTTTTGATTTTTTATTTTTAATTTTTTTTTTTAAAAATGTTTTTTCTTGTATTATGCAAAGCGGAAAAGCTTTGAAATATTATATTGTAATTTAATTAATACTAACATATGGATGGATGATTTGATGAAAAAAAAATTGAGCGAAAAAGAAGAAAAAAATCATTGTTTTGATGAAAGCGCTTTTAAATGTATTATTGCAATGTGAAAATTTTTTTCCAATAAAACATTTCTTTTTTATTCTTTTATTTTATTTATTTTTTTTTTTGATTAAAAAAAATAAATATCAAATAAGTATTTTAGTTGTATGATTTTAGATAAGTTTGATTAATTTATCTATCATTATTAGCAGCTAATTATCAATAAAAAAAGAATATCAGTAACGCTTGTTATATAATTATAGCAATATTATTGTTAAACAAAATTACTATCAGATAATTATGATCGTATTATTATTAAGATTAATTAGCATAATTATAATTATAACGATAATGCATTAATTTGCTAAGAATAACTACATCGTTATCACTTGTCGCATCACTAATTATCACTTATCATTTGCTATATATTTTTATCATCATCAAGAAATTTTGAATTTCCATTGTCATCATTTGTCACATACTATATCATCACTAAAATCATTACTAAAAATAATTATCATATTATTATGATATGCTTATGATAATGATAACTATGAGGATAATTGTACTAGAATGAACAAATATTCAATCTAGATAATTCAATTTTGTCAACTAATTTTTTTATTAAAAGGTAATTATATCATTATCACATTCTACATAGAATTATATCATTACTAAGTTAACCATATCATTATCAGGATAATCAGAGATAATCATTTCAGTATCACTGTCACATAACTTTATCATTATCATCATTATAACTATATTGTTATCATTTGCTGCTCAAAATTATGAATAAATGATAATGCCAAAGTAAACTTTCGAATTTTTAATTCAATAAATTTAATGCATTTTGCTGTTGTTTTACGTTCAAAGATAAAAGTACTTTAATTAAATTGAATTTAAGTAAAACAACGATAAAGGTACAAAATTTCAAAAGATTTCCTTTTATTTTGTTTTTTTTGTGAAGATTTGTTTTTCTTGCATAGTTTCAATATAATTTTAATTTAATAATTAGAAAATTGATTGAAAGAAAAAATTACAGCAACTGAATATAATGAAATTTTTAAAGTGAATCATTAATAACAGATAGAAATAGTCAAGTAAAGTGATAAATTGAAAAGATTAATTATGAGAAATCATTTTAAAACCTTTTGCCAGAATAATTTAATATTATGGCTTTTTAAAATAACTTTTACTAAAGTTTAAGCTTTTAGATTTGCATTTGTTAAATACTTCGTACACCTCAGAAATCATACATTTCGGAAAACTTTTGCAAATCTTACTAATCACTAACTTCAATATTAATTTTTAATAGTACTTTTTTTTTTTTTTTAAGTCGATTGCAACTTCGAAATATTAAGGCAATATTTTTTGAAGCACAAATTACCATAAATTTTCGTACATCTAATTATTAAGCTTATTAGACTAGCAAAGGCAAAAAAATTAGAACTAAAAATTAGATGGAAATTTTTTAGAATTTATTGTTAAATTGTTCGAACTAACTTACCACTACAAATGCCAATGTCAATTTGATCCAATTTTGGTTGACAAAAATTTGGCTGACGACAAGCACCAATTCCAGGACCGCATGATTCACCCGTATCATGCAGACAAACAGTGCAACATTCACATGGATCATAGGCTAATTCGGTACAATTCAATAAATCAGGATTAGGACAAAATTTGGGACATTTATTAGAACACACTGTTGATAAGCTATCAAGGATGAATAAATCTTTATCAGTTATATGATAATCTGTTTCATTGTTATCAATTGTAGCAACTAATTGCAGTTGTGATAAAAATACAGTGCAAATAGTGAGAAATAGTTGAATGAGAATGATAAAATATTGAAATTGAAATTGATGCAATCGTGTTATATCCATAATTATCGCTGATAATATTATCAATCGTTTTATCGGTTTGCTATATGTTAAAAGCAATGAGTGAATGAATGAATGAATGAATGAATGATTGGAAACCACCCAATGATGAGGATGATGAAATGATGGAATATATATTTAGAGCACAAACTATCATCAATCCCTAATGTTGCTTCAATGATGTTTGATGATGATGGCGATGACGATAATGACGATATGCTAGTGATGACGATGATGATGATGATGATAATGATGATGGTGATGACGACAATGTTAATGATGATGATGTTGATAATGATGATGACAATAATAATAATGATGGTGATGACGATAATGACGATATGCTAGTGATGACGATGATGATGGTGATGATGATGGTGATGATGACAATGTTAGTGATGATGATGTTGATAATGATGATGACAATAATAATAATGATGGTGATGACGATAATGACGATATGCTAATGATGACGATGATGATGATGTTGATAATGATGATGACAATAATGATGATAATGATAATAATAATAATGATGGTGATGACGATAATGTTAGTAATGACGATGATAATGATAATAATAATAATGATGGTGGTGATAGCTGTAATAGTAAGAAAGACGATGATGACATTTGTGACATGACAATGACGATAACGCTAGTGATGAGGATGATAATGATGAAATGATGATAATGGTGATGTTGTCATCAAATAAAATGGCATAATACGGTTCAAGTGATATTCTGTAGTATATCAATATCCGAAGATCTCTCACATCAGTTGTTAATAAAACTGAATGTTGATGGCAAAGATTGATAATGATATTGATAATGGTAACAATGAGAAAGGCAATGATGATAATGTAGATAGTGGTGATGATAATGATGATGATGATGATGATAATGATCGTGGTCATTTGAATATTCTCATAAGCACACAAATACATACGTACATTCATGCACATACGCATTCACATACACGTGTGCACACGCATACACATTCACGTATACATGTACAAGCATACGCACACAAGCGCACAGATTCGTATCACATACACATACATATACGTTACGTATGCACATATACATACACATACACACATACACATCTACACGCCTACACACATACACGTAAACATACACAATAATAAAAATATTTGTCAATGATTCATTTTTTCCTACCGATTTTATAAATTTATATGTATTGCAGCATTTTTTTTAAAATACAATATAAAAATGAGGAGGAGGAGGGAGAGAGAGAGAGAGAGAGAAATGAAGAAGGAGGGAAAAGGATGAAAAAGAGAGAAAGAGGAGGAAAATGTGGTAAAATAGAGTTTTTCTTAAATTTAAATTTCTAACTTTTTTTTTTTATTTTTTAACTTTGATATTTCTTATTACAGTAGAATGTATTACTGTAATATAAACATTAAAAAGGAAAGGAAAATGGGTAATAGTATAGATTTTTTTACTTAAATTTTAATTCCTAATATTTTTAATTTCTGTTATTAAACCTGTTATGATAATATTACTATATTTCAAGATATGATAAAAATGATTATCAATCTTATTTCTTCCAAAAGTTTTCATGTAGCTCTGCAATACTTATTGTTGTTATTTACTTTTTAATTTAAAATTTTTTCCCAAAAATTTTATTTAGTTATGCAGAAAACAAATTTAATTATTGTTGTTGCCATTTACTTTTCAATTTAATATATAATTTTTTTTTTTGTTGTTGCAGTGATTTTTTTCGAAAAAAAAAACGAAGCAGGAAATTTATGTAAAATTGATTTTTGCTTTTAAAAAAAAGTAAATTTTATGTTAATTTTTAATTCTATTATTGATTCTTTCTTTTCTCTTTTTTTTTTTAAATTGAAATTTTATAAACAAATTTGTAACAGTTTTTTTTTTTCATTTTTAGCGATATTTGATGAATTTTTCACTTCCTTCAGACTACTCCATTTTAATTAATCAGCATTTCAGGGTGTTTTGCAAATGAATGAGCTGAGAATAGCAATTGTGCATTGGTTGTAACGCCTGATATTATTATTTGCTGATCGTAATAGTGATAATGATAGTGATAATATGAGTGTAACAATATGATGGAATAATATATAGAATGAGATAAGAAAAAAAAAATTTTAGTAATGCTTAGAATTTGTTAAATTTATAATAAATTTTGTCTACGAAAAATTTCAAAATAACAATTTTAAATATGTCATTTGGATAATTTTCATTTTATCATGTCGGTAATGTATAAAATTAAAAAAAAAAAATAAAAATGGGAAAAGAATGTTTACAAGAAAAATTGTAACAAAATTTTAATCAAAAGAGAAGGCAAAAAAATAAAAATGGGAAAAAAATGTTTACAAGAAAAATTATAACAAAATTTTAATCAAAAGAGAAGGCAAAAGAAAAAAGTTATGCATCATTAATTAATCAAAATTATTCAAAAATTCCTAATATTTTTTTGATGAATAAGACGTGTTTTTCTTTTTTCTCCCCCTATTACTTCTTAATTATGCAATTTTTAGAGCAATTCAAAAGAAAAAAAAAAAAATTGGGCAATATTTAAGAATCAGTTTAATCGAGAATAACAAGAAAAAAAAAAGAAACAATTTAAATATTCAAAAATACTACAAAAGGAAGGAATTATGTCAAGTGTGCTGAAATGATGGAAATAGATGAAAAAGAAAATAAAACGAAACAGAAGTAAATTTTCAAATTAAAATTCAAAAAAAAAATTTTAATGATTGTTGGTAAAAATTGATGCAACAAGTGCCATTAATATTGACAACGATTACTTACTTCGTCTCCTGCTGTGATTTTTCGAGTATGAAAAGTATCGTAAGATATGTTGAAAATAAATAAATAAAGAAAAGAAAAGACCGCTTTTTTAAGAAGTCTCAAAAGAATTAATATAAAGAGAAATTTTTTTTTTTTTTTTTGATAAATGATAAGAGATATCGGAGAAAAAGATTTGCTATCCTTTTTCCTTTCATCTTTTTACTACTTTTTTCCGTTCTCCTCTCTCTCTCTCTCTCCCTCCCTTTACCACAAATATACCGAATTATAATTTCAGGATCTATGAAAAAAAGAGCTTTGTTTTTTTTTTTTTTTTTTTTTTTTTTTGCGATATTAGAATTATCAGAGAGAAAAAAAAAACGGAAAAAAAAGAACGGAAAAGATGAACGGAAAATTTTTCTAGAATTGTTAGTATGTACAGAATGATATGAAATGAATGAATGATAAGAAAGTTTTATGGAAAATTTCAAAGAAAAATGAAAAATTAAAGTATTTGAGAGAATTTATGAAAAGAAAATGCAAAAATTTATTTAGGAAAAAAATTTTAAAAGAAAGAAAAGAAAAAAAAAATGATAAAAAGGTACAAAGGAGAAAAATTTTAATTGCATAAATTGTTAAATTATTTCAAAGAGATGTGCAAACCTTACAATAGTTTCGTTTTTTTTTTTTTTTCTTACTTTCTTTTTCTCTCTGTCATTTTCTCTTTCTTTTTTCACTCTTTGTTGATATTTAATAAAATTGATAAATGTTCGTATAAATTAGTATAAATAAAACATTATGAAAGGTAACTGTGAAAAAGAAAAGAAAAAGCAGAGAGAAGCATACGAGAAAAAGAAAAAAAGCAAAGAGATATCATTAATTGAGTATTTAACTCAAATACTTTAGTAATTAAATGTAATGATAATGACTGATAAGTTACTATCACTATTCTTATCACTAATTTATTATTATAGAGAAATTTAAGAAAGTAAAAATTAAAACATAAAACAAATTTTTTTGTGCTTTTTTTTTATAGAAAAAAAAATCAAAAAAATTTTTCGTTTTTGAAATTATCACAAAAAGAAAAAAAAAACAAAAGCAAAAAAGAGTGAGAAAAAGCTTAAAATTTGATATTCCATTTATCAAAAAGAAAAGAAAGAGAAAGCTTAAAATCCGGTATCCGGTTACCGGAATATAATCTTTCATACTAATAGTTTCCTTTGTGTATGTGTCACTATTTCTCACATGAATCATGCATATATAATCATTTCCTTATCACATTTTTTTATGCTTTTATTGCTCTTTGTGATATTTTCTTACCGAAGAAACAAAAAATAAAAATGAATAAACTTAGTAATATTCGAATTTCATTTTAAACTCTGTAATTTTTTTACATTAAAATCTGTAATATTTAAATTTTCATTAAAATTTATATTAATTAAATTTCTTTTAATTCTATTTTTAACTTTCCTATTTTATTCACCACCATTGCCTTTCAAAACTTTTATCAAATTTGTTTAAAAAAAAAAAAATATGGCAAATTCACATTTTATTTTATTAAATGGTAAAATGCGCGAAATTTCTATACAATGCGCTAAAAGTACAATTTAATTTATTTGCATATAAAAAAGATTTTTTTTAAACTTAAATAATCATTTAAATTTATTCCTCTGACAAATGTCAGTAGTTTTTGCAGGTAATTGATTACGTAAAATAAAATAAAATACACGTAAAATATACACGTAAGTGATAAATATTGATAGTTGCGTATGTGTGAAGAAGAAAAAACGAAGATTTAATGATAAGTGATATACTTAACTAATTTATATTAGTAAGAATTTAATGACTGATAAGTTATATGAATGCATAAAAAAAGATTGTTAAGTAATTGATAAGCTTATAGCTTATCAATTTTTGGAAACTGTTAAATGATTAATGATAACAGATCTTTCTTTTTTCAATTATATATATTACGTCAATAAAAAGTATAAACTAAATTAGAATTAATTTCAACTGTTAAAAGAATATCATTCTTATATTTTCATTAATTTGCAGTACTAAAAAAAAAACTTACTTATATGTTATCATTGCTTTATCAGTTATCACATTTGAACGATAACACTTTAAATACTTTCTATCATTTATCAATACGATTTCTAAATGTAAAAAAATTTTAAAAGAATTTAGAAATTATGAGAAATTGAGCTTTTAAATAATATATTT